ACCATAGTAATTGTTTTGTTTTTGGAGGTGCTTGGGAGTAAACCCACGATCTTCTACTCAGTAAGCAAAAGCGGCAGCCACCAAGCTGGCCGAGCTCCTCAATTTAAATGTTGGGACCTTATTTTGTAAAGTTCTTAAGAATACTGATTGAAATATAACCTAAACAAAATTAAAATTAAGAGTCTCATCCGAATCAAATGATTCCAAGTGCTATGGATTCATAGAAAATAAGTTAAAATTAAATATAAGTTGAAAAAAGGAGCAATCCCACCAAATCAGTCCAAGTGAATCTTAGCTCTGTCACGTTTAGCAGTATATAGCAGTTCCGATCATAGACGGTCCGCCTTACGGGGATCAATCATCTGGTCCGATGAAGTCGATTACTCCAAGTGTAAGAGGCCAAGTATTAGGTTCAGCACTGCAACTTGCATCTCCTTGACACGAACACGAAAACGATGGGACGTCCGCGTCCGATGCGAAAGCGCTTGTCAATGGCAAGCCGTAGGGACGTACAACCAGTAGGCGTTCGGGGATGCGATGCAACACTCGTAAGTTTTTCACTCTTTTTAATCTTCAGTTATGGAATTAGTTTCAGTCACTTTGACGGGATCAGCAACCGAAAATTTACGTGAAAAAAAAAAATCCACAAATAAAACGGACAACATCCCAAGTAACATTTAACGTTTTATAAAAACACTACAAGGCTTCTATAAAACAACATTCATAAAACCCTGGTCAAGACAGCTTTGCCACCAAAACCTCATTAAGACTGGAATCTGTCTAGTTGGCCCACCCTGAAGAAGGTTCTAAAGAGTGCATTATCGAGAAATTTCAAGAATGACTTGCTGCAAAAAGGTTATATGACGAATACATTGAGAACCATTTTAAATCCTTATTAAAAGTATAATAAAAGCCATTTAGCACCAATACTTGTGCCATTTGCCTTTGACGCTTGCTAAGCGCACTAAAAATAAAGCAGCAATCAAGATAAAAAGGAATACAGAAATATCGTCCGACCTTGCCAAATTCATCGTTCAAAAATGAATCTGTCAAAAATGCTCATTGATGCATTGATGAGAATAAAGTTATTTTAAAGGAAAAACATCTTGAAAAACGAGGATTGTAGAAAAGCAAATGGAATAATAACAATATGGCGATGGCATAAACTTTAACTTTACATTGGACATTTGTAAAAAAGCTGTTTTGTTTTCATGAAATCCTCAACAAATGCAAAACATTTTAATGCGGCTTTTATGAAGATAATTTGCAGACTGAATTTTTGTTTTTATCTGAAGCCATTTTGCTTTATCCTATTCCGTTTAGTTTTATGACGGCATTAATGGTGGCAAAGTTGCCTGGAAAAAGTTAAACGTCAAAATTTGTTTATCTTTCGATAGTTTTGTTGTGCGATCATTGCAACGATGTTCTACTCAAACGTTGGATCAACAAGTTGCGTGACATCCTTGATAAGGTCAATTCTTCTATTGGAAGCAGTTACTCAGGAAGTGAAGGGTCACCCACAATATCTAGTCCGTCACCGTCACCGTCACCGTCACCGTCACCGTCACCGTCACCGTCACCGTCACCGTCACCGTCACCGTCACCGTCACCGTCACCGTCACCGTCACCGTCACCGTCACCGTCACCGTCACCGTCAGCGTCAACTGACAGCTTGGTTTGAGCCAAGGCTATTCAGTTTAGCAACCCACAAAGATGCGTTGCGCTCACTGCGCGTCAGTACTAAAACGCTGACGCTGTGCTAAATTTTGAAAATTTTGAAAATTGCTGTTTTGTTACATCAGCGTAATCAGAAGCGTATGTTGTGCTGTGTTGCTTTGAACACATCATGGAAAACATTGTTAGTAGGAATTTGCATTTGTTAGAAGGGCCAACCCCAATTCCCAAACAAATTTCAGTGATTTTTTTTTCAATAAAATACAACTAGTGAAATAGCTTTGTATACAATTTAAACTATTGAAATGTTTTATATATCCTTAAACAATATTGTGTGAATACATGTTTGGCCAACACATTTCGGTTAACGTATGCAGATCGTGTCGCATTGTTGTCTCTCTGATGGGCCGCAGAGTTAATACATCTCAGAGGAACAACTAATGTACGCCATTCACCAGGTTCACTGACGTTCCCATCACCATCCCTCCTGGCTCTGGACAGCCGTTGATTGAAGTTGTCTTGAATTGGAGGTAGGTCAACACCTGGATATGGCTGGAGCAAGTTATTCTTAAGAGGAAATGCAGCACCCCCAACAATGATATACGGCATCACTTCATTTGAGCCTGGTAACTTGTCCGGTGCTGGCAAATCCAACTCGCCATTCACCAATCGCCTCCCAAATTCAGAATGTTCGGACTTTTTTTTTTTAAATACATATTAAATCTTCTACCAAAACAAATGATCAAAACGAGATTATGCTACTGTCAAAACGTAACGCGTGACGCATGATTGTGCGCAAGCACTGCGTCAATGCGTCCGTCAGCATTTTTAGTACATGACGGATGCGTTGACGCTGACGGTGACGGACTATTGTGGGTGGCCCTTGAGTCTACGTAACTTGGAACAGGTGGAAGCTCAATCGTTCCCGAAAAGTTTTCCTTCTTCCGGATGAGTTTCCTGTCAGCAGTTTTCCGCAGTCCCAGTTTGGCACTGATGCTATTCGGATCATCATCGCAACGTTATTACTGGAGAAGGCTGCCATTGACAATATGCTGTGTATTCCCATCAATTTTAAGCGTCTATTTTGACGGCTTCTCGGCTGCTCTGCTGTTGACCGATTTTGCCGGAGCTGACCTCCCAGAAAGTTCTGGAATTGGATTCCTTTTCTCTTCCGTCGACAGCATTGCTAGAATTATTACTCGATTATCCTTTGGCATTTCCTTGTGACTCTGCGCTAGGAAGCCCCACTCGATTATGTTTTTCTCTGTCTCTAGGCGGATCCATCTTTTTAGTTTTATTTGTAAACAGTGGGAGGTTTTGTGATACACTTTATTGACACCAAAACGCATCAATGTATGCTTTTTGATCCCGTTTGAAACCGAACGGTTTCATAATTGCTTTTATAATGATAAAACACCTTTATGGAGAATTTTGTCGTGACATCAATAAAACAAATACCAATTCATTTGCTGAACAGTTTTATAAAGGGATAGAGTGCTGCATTAAATTAATTTTTAAAACCAGACACTTTCTGATTTTATCGTCAGAATTTTAAGGTTTTTAAAACAGAATTCTGCTGAACTACTGAATAAATGTTTTGCACTGTTAAGGTGATACTCTAAGAAAGCCTTAGCATGAAACTTGAAAGGCACAAATGTCAGCTTTCCAAAACATACAAATTTGAAATTGCTACTCCTTGTTTGCTGTGCTACAGAGAGTAGCAATTTCAAATTTGTATGTTTTGTGGAAGCTGACATTTGTGCCTTTGAAGTTTCATGCTAAGGCTTTCTTAGAGTATCACCTAAAATGCTGTATTTAAACTAAAAAAGATTGCTTATTGCCGTTATAAAACCACAATAAATCAGAGTGAAAGCCGAAAGGCTATCACATTGTTACTTGGGATGTTTGTTAAAACGCACAGCCTACTCTCCCAATAATAATATCCAAAGATTTTTTTAGAGATCTAATCTGATCAGATCTGATTACCTGGAATAATTTCTGAGTCACGTGGTATCGTAAGAGAATATCTGATAGACGTAATTTGAATTTTTGGATACCTTTAGAATAGTACCTTCAGGTTGTAAAAATATGCTGAGGATTTAATGAAGATCTCTGATCACCTGATGGCCTTTGGAATAATTTCTGAGCAACTTGGTATTATAAAATAATATCGGAGAGACGCAATTTTAATTATTGGACAGTAGATGACAGATGCAGATGATTGAAGGGCCTCATAGCCTAGTCAGTAAAGGCACGGTATTACCAAGCCGGAGGCGGCGGGTTCGATTCCTAGTCCGGTCGAGGGAATTTTTCGGGTTGGAAATTTTCTCGACTTCCCTGGGCATAGAGTATCATTGTGCACACAATATACAAATTCATGCATTGGTATTGGCATCGAAAGCTCTCAATTAAAAACTGTGGAAGTGCATTTAGAACACTAAGTTGAGAGCACGCAATAAGCTAATATGCACTAAGCAATAAGCTTGAAATGCGAATAAGAAGAAGAAGAAGATCATTGGATTAATTTATAAACCAGAGTATTGAAATATATTCAGAGAAGGTGTTGTAGATCTCTGATCACCTTTAGATCTTTGGAAAAATTAGGAGTCATCTGGTTTCTTAAGAGATGTCTATGATGTAAAGTAAATTTATTTGCTCGATCAATTTGTCGATTTTAAACAATACCACAATGAGGTTCCGTTTCTTCACCTCGTTTTCCCCTGGCCGTCTGCCATCTTTCAGATTAGAAGCTCCACAAATACATCCATAGAAATTTGTAACAGAGTTCCATTCGTGTTTCAAACCCGCTCATAAATAAAACAGAATAGTCAAGCAGTTGCAAGTATGGTGCAAAGTAGTGCTCGAATAATGAAATTGCAACTCAACATTGCGAGGGGTGTGTTTCTGTTCCAGTTTCAAATTGAAAAAAATCCATATAAAATACCATTTTACCCTCACCACCCCTACGTCAATTTTTTCTGAAATCTTGGTATAATATATTGCTGAGTTGCTCGGTCGTGCCAAAATGACTGAATTGTATTATTTGATCGAGATTAATCTGAACATTTTCAAAGTCTGAAAAAAAAAACGGTAAAAAATCTTTTTGAAAACAGAATACGACTTGCAGCAGGCAATTTTTTTTTTGTATTTACATCACTTCCTAATTTTATTCTACCTATGTTAAAGGGGTAGACCCGTTGGTATGAATGGGATGAACCCTTCCTGTGAGCCATATCCTCCGTATTTTTTATACCTAGACCGAATACTTAAGCGCCTACCAACCTATGAACCGATATCATACATCGTTCATAATTGCTTCGTTCAGGATGAGTCTCGCAGTCATATTATCGTTCCTTACAGTGTTTTCCACACAAAGTGGAGTCAACTGTGGACTGTTGGATATTTTCAACCACAAATCGGACTACAATTTAGCTTCAGCGATCGATATAGCATTTGCTTTATCAAGAAATGACATAGAATTGCTGCTAACTGGAGAGATCACTACTCCAATCGAGGAGGATGTCACTTTCTGGTGTGGCAATAGGTTTGTTTAATTTGAGTTTTCGATGCATATGCAATTATTAACTTTCTTTTTTCTCCACAGAGAATCGCCAGAGTTGGATCAAACATATCTAGATGATCCAGACATTCAGCTGAAGATCAATTTCACCAAACCGATCATGCTCGTAACGCACGGATGGTTAGATGACCATACTATGAACTGGATCCAAGAAACGGCCCAGGATGCTCTCGACAACATCGATATCAACGTTTGCATCGTAGGATGGGGTCATCTGGCAAGGTACCAATACTACCAGTCAGCCAGGAAGCATACCCTGCTCGTATCGGGTTACATGACCAGATTCATCAACTTTCTGAACCTAGAAGGAATTCCTCTGGAAAAGGTTACTCTGGTGGGTCACAGCTTGGGTGCGCAGATTTGCGGTCAGGTAGGTTACAACCTCGACGGACAGCTGGGCGAAATTTATGGACTAGATCCTGCTGGACCTCTGTTCACCTTCCCGGTCGACCTTGGACTGCGATACCGGCTGGATCAAAGTGACGCCAAATACGTTCAGATGATTATCACCTCTCGATACTCGCTGGGTGTTGGAAAAGGCGATGGCCACGAGAATTTCTATCCCAACGGTGGAGATGCACCGCAACCGAACTGTGTCATTCCGTTGACGAGCGATGCCGAAATGGCCGATCAGATAATTTGCAGCCATTTGCATGCCACTTCACTGTTCCGATTGTCTCTCGATCCGGCCCTTGTTTTCAAGGGAAGACGGTGCTTCAACTGGATGTCATACCGCTTGAAGACGTGCAACCTGAATCCTGCAGATGTTATGGGTGTTTACAGCCAAAAGCTTGATGGTGATTTCTACCTGAGGACTTCAGATGATTCACCGTATGTGTACTAATCAACCTAACTGATAGATCTTTAAGTGTGAAAATAAATTTACTATATTTGCTGAAATATTCCAATTGAGTTAATTTCCGATCAGGTCAACGTCCCACATGATGCAATTACCATCTCCGGTAGCAAACAACAAGTCACCACTATTACCATAACACGGCCAAGTTCAACGTACGCTTATCTCCCACCGACTTTGATTAAATCATTTTGCATAACTCGACTGCATGGTAAATTTATTCATCACATTACCATCACCTCCTGGCTGCTGCTGCTGAGAAAACTGCACCCTTTTATCATTTTTTTTTTCGTTCACTGCCTTTCTTATCTACCAACCAAACACCCGTCTCTCTGTCTGAGCTCCGGTCGTTGTCATCTCACATAACTTCATACTTCATATAGCGCTTGCATTTGCAGTACAACAACTAACGACGACGATGTATGGAAAAAGAGCGAACACTACTAGCAACCAACACGTGCTCTTGGCGCTTGAACTTGCCCCCTTCCGATGCACAACCGACGTGACCCCACCGTCGTCGTCGTCTTCGTCGTCATCATCATCGTAAACATAGACTCTTGCTTAATTGAAACCAACAACCTGGGCCAGGCTAGGCCGGGGCATGGGTGCAAGCACGAGCAGACGAGCGGTAATTTCCATTTAAAGGGAATGCCTGTCGGAATTTTCTCTATTATTCAATTGGCATCATAATTTCTTCCCCGCGCCATAAATAGCTGGTGGCAAGAAGAAAAATGGATCATGTTGTTGAGCTCATTTACCGAAGCTGCCTTTTTCCCAAACTGGCATTGGAAACACGATGGCATCATAGTGGTTGGCGGAGGTAGTTTATCTTCTCACTCTCGGTTTTTTTTTGCGCTTGCTTTTAGATTTGTTATGATTTAATTGATGCTGTGTGGTGGCAGCACGAAAGAAAGACTATATTATGTGAGAGAGTGACGCTTTTGCTGAAACCTATGAGGTTATGCCACGGTTGCTGGGGGCTCGCGAAACTGAAAGTGCAATAGCGTCACGTTTTGCCGCTGTTGTTACCATTTTCTGCAAGATAAAAGGGAAAAACATGCTGCACGAGTAATTAAAACGAGGATCAATGAATTTTAATTTTCTTCCACTCGTCCCGGGCGCGGCATGAGCTCGCATGGCTGTAAAGTGGAAAACTGCAGCGTTGATGAACTATTACTCAGCTGCGATGATTGATTGGAGAACCAGTCGCTTTTCCATACTTGGCGAAAGACTAATTCTGGTAAATCAATCGGATTATACGCATCGACCGACCGACTCAGGCAAATCATCGCGTTAGTTGAGTCATAAAGTAAAGTGTCACTAATTATATCATCGCGTCGTCGTCGTCGTCGTCGTCATCAAGGCAGCGAGCAAAAACACTTTCATCTAATATGCATAATTCATGCTGCGCCGGGGTTTGAAACGAGAGCAAAAAAGTCACATAATTAAAGACAATTACAGTGGCAGCACACCTCCCTTGAGAGAAAGACTTGAACGCTCGCTTAGGAAGCGACGAACTCACTTGGCGACCATTGGGGGCCATTGAACGCGTCATCGCTTCGCGTCACCATAGCAACCGGATGAACTTGAACTTGAACTGGTCGGGCCCCTCTTTCCGCTTGTCACAGAGTGCGATCCTTACCGGTCCGATCAGCGGCGGATGTTGTGAATCCATAAATATTCTCGGTAGGCTCGATAGATGGCGCCGATAATGAGGCGTGGAGGATCGATTTTAGAGCAGAACAAAAGGAATAGGACCGGTATGGAACTGAAAAGGAAGAGAACAATTTAAGCAGGTGCGTTTTAGCAGCACCCTGGGAATGAAAGGCAAGGGACTTCCAAAAAGGCATTAATGTGATCAAATAGATGATTTAGAGCCAGTTGTGCGGACAGTTTGAGGAGCCAAACAGGAATAGGTCAATTTGGTGCTTTGCTAGGCAGTTTGTGGACCTGTTTGTGGGCCGTGATTTACGAGACCATCTAAGAAAGATGAGTCATAAAACGATTGTTGCAAGTGGTCGAGTTCAAAGGCGTGTGAACTTTTCGGAATTAAATAAAAGAAAAGCGACTTACTGAGTCAGTCCGGAGTGACCTTTGAACAGTGCCGTTTTATGTAACAGCTTTTGGAGAGGAAGAATGGAACGTTTGAAGTTTTGGGATTTTTTTTTTCATATGAGCAGTTCCCCAAATAGCAAAAAAAAAATTGTTTTTTTTTCTTGATCTTTGAATTATTTTTGTTATGAGCAATCATTGACATTTGTGCATAAAATTCGGCCATTTTGGATCTTGCAATAATTTTTCAAAGTGGCATATTTTTCATTAAACCATCGTTGGATGAAAACGTCACGAAGTTGATGAGGAAAATAAAGTCTTTGTATTAAAAATATACACGGTTTTTTTTGTGATTTTGGATAGAAATTCCATAAAAGTGTTGAAAACTTAAATAATTCAAAATATCATTGTTCAATAATTATATTTATAATGTTTAAAAAAAAACCAATGAAAAATTCAAATTTATAAAAGATTGAAAACTATGGACACGTTAAAAAAACAAAAATTGAAAACTACAACTTAAAAGGTTTCAAATATTTATACCTTTAACGTTGTTTTTCTTTTTAATTCTACTACTATTGTATCACTTTCACTAATTCACTTTCCCTTATTGACTTTTATTATTTACTTTCAATATCACTTTAAACTATAATAGACACGTTTCGTTTACTACTTGAAAACTTCTTCAGTGTCTAGTCATAGACTAGACTTTTTGTTGGACAGTCAAAGATCTTCAATAAAATACTAAATCAACCTGATGACTTGAAAAAAATATCATGAGAAATTTTTGGAGATCTCTGATTAGTTGAAGGTCTTTGGAATATTTTATGAGCCACCTGGCATCATGAGAGAAAATCTAATAAACGTGATTTGAAGATCTTTAGAATGATACCTGATCAACCTGAAGTCATGACGCAAGCACTTTTATGGAATTCTGTGAACATGAAGTTCTATAATATATTATGACATTCCCAGAACTTCTGTGATGTTCCCGGATCTTTTATAAAATACCTCTCACTTCTATGAACTTACATGAACTTCAAAGATACTCCCTGAAACTTTTTAAAAAAACGAGTGCTTTATGAAGTCCTTGGATTTGTTTGTAATGCTCTTCATATTTTTATGAAGTTCTCTGAACTTCTATGAAATATCATCAAACTTCTAAGAAGTTTACAAAACTTCTGTAAAATTCCCAAATTTCTATTAAATCCTCTCAACTACTATAAAGTATGTTGAAAGAGGGAAGGATTAGTAATTTCCACTCAATTCCACTACCTTATTTGCGTATCCATTTCACCAATCAAAGGAAGGGAGGAGAAAAGCAGCGGTATTAAAAACGCTTGCCAAATCGTTTTCTTCGTCTAGTGGAACTACCAGCGGAACCCAAACGGTCGTTTGCTGTTTGATCACTCGCAGCATGGGCGGTACACAGTGGAGTTTCCAAATGAACCAACCTTCATCTCTCCGGCCGGAACCCTGCCACGCTGGACTTCTTCCTGACGAACATCGGTATATCCAAACCGGTGGCACACAACGACCTTAGCTCAGACCAACAACCGGTGGTGGCTGAAGTCTGCATCAAAGTGGCTGCTGCTCCAAGTTGCCAACGATAGGACTACCACCACGTAAACCGGGCCCAGTTCGGACGTGTGGTGGACAGAAACATCGACGAAAATCCGCCGCTTGACACCGTAGATGACATCGACCGGGCGCTGGCAGTACTTCATCAGGCCATATCCATTGCTGACAAGACATGTATCCGTCAAGTTCCTGTGAGGGGTAAGTTTACTGCCATTGATTCCCACACCCAAATGATGATTCGCCTGAGAAATATTCGTAGACGCCAGTTTCAGAGGACTGGAGATCTCGACAAAAAAAAAACGTGAAACGGCCGATCTGAACAGGCAGATTGCTTCCAGAATGGACTCACTCCGAAACGAATGTTTTGGACGTGTTGATCCCAAACCTGTTCCACCTTTAAGACTTGAAAATGATGGCGCACGGCTCTTAACACCGAAGGAGAAAGCAAATGCGATTGGTGATCATATTGCTGCATCGCATTTGCTTGGCTCCAATATCCAAAGCCCGCTAAAAAATCAGGTGACGCAATGCGCCCACAATTTAGATGTCTCCCCTTGTGTCGTCCTCCGGAGGATAAAATCACGGTAGAACAGATTTGCTCAGCGCTGAAATATTCTAAGAATATGAAGGCCCCCGGTTTTGTCGGCATTTTCAACCTAATTCTAAAGAGACTTAGCACGAAAGTGTACAAGCTTTTGACCGCTATCTTCAACAGATGCTTCGAACTGCACTATTTTCCAAGCATCTGGAAGATGGCGAAAATTATACCAATTCACAAACCGGGTAAAGATCCAACATTGCCGTCTAGCTACAGACCGATCAGCCTCCTTTCAGCGCTGAGCAAATTGTTCGAGGAACTCATTCTCAACCGTTTGCTCAAGACTGTCGAGGAAAGCAATATTCTCCTACTGGAACAGTTTGGTTTTAAGGGGCATTCCACAACGCACCAGCTAGTACGGGTTATGAACAACATCCGAAGTAACAAGGCTGTATCCAAGTCCACAGCCATGGCCTTGTAAGATGTCGAAAAGGCGTTTGACAATGTATGGCACGACGGACTTATACTCAAGCTTTGCAACTTCAACTTTCCTTTACATTTGATAAAAATCACCCGTAACTACCTTCAGCAAAGGTCATTCAAGGTATCGTTAAATGGTTGTCTTTCCGACACGTTCTCCATCCCAGCAGGCGTCCCAAAAGGTAGTTTGTTGAGCCCTTTGCTTTACAGCTTATACACTTCCGATATACCCGATCTCGGTAACAGTAGTCATGTACGGCTCAAGGGTCGAGTGGTCTACAGAAGTAATTTATCTCGGGATGTTGTTTGATGAAAAGCTCCTATTCCGCTTGCACAT